CTCTAAAGTTTTGTTGTGATAATTATTTGTCTTGTTATCAGTTCATGCAACTTCCACTGACATTAATGTTGAATAAGAAATCTTAAGAAATAGAAGGGAAAATCCTTTTCTCTCTCACATAATCCATTGAATCCCCCTGAAATGATGAGCAACCCCATATGATTATCCCAAGGCAGAGTTCATCCAGTTCACTTAGCAAAGTCCCCATATTGGAATATTGACAGAGGAATATATTTAAATTTGCTTAGTTCTTTTTTATAAATACAACAAAAAATCTCTTCTTCCTTCAGTGTCTGTTTTTCAAAGATTTCTCACCAGAGCTTTTTCTTTTCTCTCAGGAGTTTAAATTAAGCACAAAACAAATAAGTACCAGTATAATTTCCCTGTTGCTCCCTCTCGGGGGGTATTAAGTATTAGGGGATCATTTAAAAGAAAACTACCCACTCTCTACCCTTCTCAGTCACTTCCCAATCTCTGGTCTATTCCTCTATTTAAGGAGAAAAAAGAAAAATACTGAATGTTCCAGTTGTTTTTAAATTGCCCCCAAATTAGAAGTTATTAAGAAAGCCAGAAATTCCTCATACCTCAAACATTCTGATTTTCAGAGTACCCAGGCAAATAAAAGTTGAGATTCAATACACTCAAATCGCTGGATCCCTTACAGCTGTGAAACATGAGGCACAGAGTTGGTAAATGTATTGTTATTACTAAATGGTAGAGAATACAAACCCAAATCTTGGTCTTTGTTTCTGGATCCTATGCTTCTTCCAACACGCACACCACTTCCCCTCTGGAATAGGAACTAGAAAGAGAAGTTAGGTTGCTAGTGATAAAGAAAATCACCACCAAGCTCCGGATTCTGCTTCTGATGACTGTTCTCATCCATTGTCCTTGAGGTGTGAGCTGATCTCTACTTCAGAGTAATCCAGCTAGATGGATGCTACCTACTGTCCTCTGCCCATCTGGACACTCCCAGGGGCCGGCTCTCTGTGCTGCCTCATCAGATACCTTCCCTGTTCCGGGGTGACTGCAAAAGCCAGCTTTCCCTAAGCACATTTATCTTCAACCCCCAGTGCACAGCAGAGCTCACACTAGACTAACTCATTTATTTCTACTCATTTATTGATGGCCTTTCATAACCAAGTTATTAAGTCATCAATAACCTCAGAGAAATGAACGAATGGATCCAGAACTGGGCCAACGGATGTTGAAGACATATTCTACAAATTTTATCTAGGATCAGCAGAAAAGTCAATGCTGGGCCATTGGTGGTATTTCCCCACCTATGAAAATGTATTCCAGAAATATGTTATTCTAATTAAAATTCAGTTTATTCCTCTACAAAGTAGTGAAATGAATAACATCTCCAGTCACTCAACTAAAAGAAAGTTTTTTTAAAAAAAGATTACATGTTAATATTTTTCCAAAATGCTACCTAATGTATCTTGCTCCTATCAGCTGACAAAACAATATCCCTGGAAGGCTTGCCAAAAATAGAGTATAAGCTTTTTTGGCAATGCTCATATCATGAGTTCCAATATATTCCCCCTTGGGAAATAAAATAAGATTAAAAAGAGAGGAAAAGAAGAAAGGAAGGCAGGGAGGATTTCTAAGACTTTGGGAAACCCTTGAGACCAGGGTCTAGGAGTCTAAAGAAATTCCTAAGACTGAAGTTAAGTTTCTGTGAGGACACTTTCAAAGCCATCAGCAGTTCACCCAGCTGAGGGGAGCTATGCATTTCCATCATGTTTTGGGGTACATGTAGCTGCTCTATCTCAGCCTTAATGAGCATCTCATTATCCTGACCTCATCTCTCTGTTCAGATACCCTTTTGCCCTTAGTTTGCTACCAACTTACCCCCTGGGACGCCACCTAGATGGGAAGAATCTTGGAGGCTGAGGGGTGACAATGTGTTTGGAAACATGCGTCAGTGGCCTCAGTTTCCCCATCTGTAAAATGTACTTCATCAAATTATTACAAGAATCTAAAGAGTTAACATATGAAAAGCACTTAGAGTAGAATCTGGCACATAGGGTTGAAGAAATGTAGCTGCTGCTGCTGCTGTTGTCATTCATAAAAACATAGTATCTTCCATATAATTGGGACCTTAGGAGCTAGTCCAGTTTCCTCAATTCATTTTGCAAACAAGGAAACTGCAGCCCAATGAGGTTAGGTAGCCTATTATAGAATGTCTGTGCTTTCAAAAGCTAAAGGCTGAGTGAGATATTTGTAGAAAAAGACGTCCTTTATCCAATCTAGCAGTCAAATTCCAACTCTGTTACTTGCTAGTTGTATGATTTTGAGCTCCTTTCTTTCTTTCTCTGGGCCTCTCTAGGTTCTCATGTACCAAAGAGGTACAATACAACCTATCTTGGTGGATTGTTGTGAGAATTGAAAAATAATGACAAAAAATTAATGGCCGCATAATGTGACTAGCCTGCTGCCTAGGAGTTAATGAGCATTCAATAGCTGGGCACAGACATTATTGCAAACATCATTCAGATGGGCGGCTGCAGAGTGGGTGCTAGAATCCTGGGCCCCTGACTGCCAGGAGAGCTCACTACTATACTGCCCACCATTACTTAAAAACAAACAAAAAATAGGAATTTGCTGATACTTTATATCAGTTTTGTTCAATAGCTATCTAGTCATCAGATATTAGCTATCAAAAATTACCTATGTCTATTCATAGATAAAAATCTGTAAGTCCTCATTGTTCTTGATGAAAGGGAAAGGGGGAAAAAGGAGAAGAAAGTCCCCAGTGGTCCAGAGCTCTGGTCCAGAGCTTTTTCTAACTAGTTGAACATGAAAAGTTTTGCTCTGCCAGCTGAGCCCCAACATTACTGTTGGGGGACAGTGGCTCAGAAACAACTTGCAGATGTCACAAGATAATAAAGGAAACACTATGTACAGCAGTGATTTTGCAAATATAACCCCTTTACTGGGGTAGAAATGGTTAGAGAACGGTTCAGGGAAGGATGGATATTGAACCAGACACCTTAATTTCCTTTCTTGGGGAAATATAAGTAAATTCTAACTCTAGATAACAAGGCATGGTACTCCAGCCTATCAGAAAATAGAGACCTGTGGAACTCTAATGTCCATGAAAAGATAACGTGCCCCATGGTGGGAATTAGGAATGGGGAATAGATTCCATGGCCAAGTAACTTTGAGAAATACTTCCCTCTTGAAGATTTACAATGCTCACTTATAAATTAAAGATTCTGAGAAGACCTGCATTTAAGAAACCTACTTAATACTGTCAAATCCATCCTTTCCTGAAGGGTGGATTTTGTTGGCACAAAATTTCCATCAACATCATATGAACAGTTGCAAACTAGGCACACTATTTGAGAAACTGTACACAGTTTGAAAATCAGAGATCTTAAGACAACCAATGAGAAAGGGCTATGAGAAGTTTGGATTTTAATTTCATTGTGAGTCTTTGCTTCAATCATTTTAAACAAAATATAAATGGCTTACTAAAAACGAACCACATTTTACTTATATCCCCATTTTATTTGTGAGAGAGAGAACTGTAGCATCTATTGGTACATATATATTCCATAGGGCAGAACACAACCCTTTGTGACCAGCTATGTATCATTTTACCAGGACAAAAATAAATAAATAAAATGAAAGCAAATCAACTTGGGCTCATTTAAGGGTTTACTTTGGAGCAGCCAGTGGATTGCCGTTGTCTTGCATGTGTCGTCATATCCTCAGAAGAATATTCATATTATTACTGGGCTATAAACTCATGATATAATTTGGGGATGGAAACTGTGATCCCAGACAAAGCAACAAAGCCCACATTAAGATATAAATGCTTTTAATAATGTAGATCATTACAAATGATTTAAAATTCTCTTAACCACTTCGGTACCAGCATCGACTATAGTCGATAGCATAGATGAATGCGCACAGCGACTTTAGCCGACAGCCGTGATATGACTTTTCTAATTTTTCATTTATCAAAATAAAATTGTGAACATTTAAAAATAATTTAATGAAAACACATATGTATATGTTGCCTATTCTGATTTATATTAAAAGTAAAGCTGCCTGTAAAGTAAAACAAGCTTTCAGTGCTTTCAAGCTTGCTTTATCACACAAGAGCAAAACGGATTCATCGTCAATGCACAGCACAAACTATCGTGCAGACTGTAAGTGCTGGCCGTGGGTAAGGTTTCGTGGCCTGTGAGTGCTGTACCGAAGTGGTTAATATGCAAAGTGAAATACATAGAAGTCAAACAAATGCCACTGAATATCCTTCTTACAGCATTGCAAATTTTATTATCTGTCTCTAACATTCACAAAAATTTTTCACTTTCTTTTTTCTTAGATTTTTATCCTCTACTCTCACATGAACACCCATCACATATTTTCTCTTTCTCTTTTGTCCTTAATTCCTTTTCATCATCCCTCCCTTTGTGGCCCATCTGGGAAAAAAAAAATGAGACAAGCACGTTCAGTTATTGCAGTCTTTCCCTCAGGAATATCTACTTCAAAACTCTTCATAATCTAAGCAGAAAGATGTCAAAAATCAACCATAGCCCTTGGTAGCAATCTATAAAAAAGAAAGTGAATAAAAATTAGTGTAACATTTATTAGACTGTTATCTCTTTAGCATTGACCTTCTAGCAATCCATAAATAAATAGCATCCAAATTTGACAGAAGTAAACTGCAAATTTCCCACAACAGCGATCTGACAGAAATATCATTTTTATTGATATCAAAAAAGTGGCATTTCTTAGCTGTTTAATAAAGTTGGGATTATCAAGAAAAGTAAATGTTGACTGATGCCAAAAATATCTCATCCACGAAACAAGATCTATGAGCTGATTTGCTTGGCAACTTCTTCACCATTTAGATGCTTACACTTAGAAAGTTGTTTTTTTTTTTTTTCAAATGTAGTTTAATTTGGTTTGACATGTATCTTTATATTAAAATGTGTTTGACTATTCATCCAATGCCTTTTTCTCTTGTCTCTCTCCAGGGAGCAAATAATTTGGATAAAGGCACAACAAAAACAGAGAGTGCCCGGCTCTTCAGGATGTGGTATGGCTTTGACCACAAGTATCCTTTAGCAACCATGATCTCACAGATCCTGCTGCAGGCAGAGAATTACCTTAAGTGTGTAATCATTGAAATGTGTGTTCCTGCTCTTCAAGAAACATGAAAAGGTAAAGTGAATTCACAGCCAAACTTACAAAAAGGAACGATTTCATAAGGTAAAAAATCTGGGTAGTCCATATGTGAGTCCATACAAAGAGCTAAAGTGGAATCTCTGAGAGTCAGATGTATTTGGTATTTTCATGACAATCCAGTATTTTCTAATGCCAGATGATAAAATCGTATATTCCTGAAGAATCAGTCTGTTTTACTCTTCTTCCCCTTGTGAAGCTCTTTCTTCTGGTTAAGATGGCCAAACAGACCTGCTTGACTAAGGATGTTGTATGAAGAGTTTCAGTGGCTTTTCTCCAGGGTGACCCAGGCAAACCTCCTGCACCCTCCTCCCAGAAGCCCATCTGTATTCTGTCTCAGGCTGTAAAAATGAAGGGGTTGGGGCAGAGGACAAGAATGAATGGGCCGAGGAGTATAAGTTTGGTTCATCAGAGTTCATCATAAAATAGCACTGCTTTGTTTTCCAGGCAGATTTGAGTATAGTTTTTTTCTGGTGAAGTGCAAGTTTAAAATTCTGGCAATCAGTGTGAACAGTCACTCAGATACACCTTGTCATGTGATTCATAAGGCCAGGAAGTCAGACCTGAAGGGCTTTGCCATTGTGAGCTGCAGCAAGCGGTCCATCTCTAATCCCAAGCAAAAGCGCCAAGAAAGAAAGGAAAGAACTGTGCTGTAAATTAAATGTGTTGGCTCTTTGTAGCTCGTTTTCCACGATCACAAATCCCTGTCCTTTCAGTGAGAAAATGTCAATCACTGGGGGATTTTTAAGCACCTAAGCAATGATTAAAGCCACAACAGATCAGTGGGAGAGAAAGAAGAATTAAGAAGAGGGAAAAGAAATTAAAAAAATAGGTGAAGAAAAAGAGGTAAAAATAGAAAGGAGGGAGAGGAGGCAAGAGAAATAGGAAATTCACAGTAGGAAGAAAAGGAAAGCAAATTAGAAGAATGGCTGTGAAAATAGAAAACAGAAATTAAGAAAGAAATAAAGAGAAGCAAATTGAAGATTGCGGAGATAAACTAAAGTAAAACAACACGAGATTAGAAAGTAATTCTGCAAACATAGAGCATTCTAAGAATTATAAAATGGTGATGTTGAAGGTAGAGGTTTATTGAGGTTATAGTTTTGTTTTCCCATAACTCTGTTATCTATGGGCAGATATCCTGCCTTGCCCAGTATTTGGTTTTGTGCACAGTGTGGGTTGCTGCCACCTTAAAAGCACTCCATCCTGGCCCCTAACTATCTCTTGGAGGTTCTAGTATCTCATTTACTAATGAAGCCTTCCTGGTCTTGCTAAGGGAAGCTAGTTCTTAGAAGGCTGTTGCTAGTTTATGTTCCTGGTTTATGTCTCTTCTGGACACATAATTTGCCCCTGCCATTGTATATAAGTATCTGATAACCCACTTTGTATGAGGTTATAAGAATTTGACTAAAGAGAACACATAATGAGATGTTCAGCAAGAAAATGGTAAATCGGAAATGAGCTAAAAGATATTTTTGTTCAAATTTTGACAATGCTGTGAGGAAGGCTTTACAATGAAGGAAAGGAATAAAGTGGAAAAAATAACCTGGAGACAAGAAAATGAAAGTTGGAGCCCTCTCAATTTTTAGCTTAGAGCAATGAGTGACACTAAATTCAGATGATGTCATAGTTTTTGTCTCACTTTTTACCAGGGGCTTATTTCCATATGATTATGGACAGACTAGCAAAAATAAAAGCAGATTTACACTCTCAGTCATATCCCTTCTCATGGTAATTTGTCATCCTGCATATTCATTCTAGAAATTGCTATGATGCCATCACTGCACAAATATATTTTCACTTAGACAACAAAGGTTTTGTATATGAGTTGTGTTATGAATTTATGCCTGAAGATTAGCAAGCCAACAAGTTTCAATTCTGTGACCTCTTAATACATCTGTGTTTTTAGAGACAAATTATTCACTTGGCATTCACGTTCATTGTATTATCCACCTAAAACCCAGGTGATATGGTCATGCCAGCCACCACCAGTATAGGGAAGAACCCCCCACCCAAGGGTCAGGCTGCCTGGCCTGGACCAAGAAGACATTGTCATGAGGCTGAAAGAAATTGATCATGTGGTTTGGACTTGTTCAAGTTTCATCTCAGTAAAATTGCTTCATGCAAACAAGGCATCATAAAGATTTATTGACAAAAGAGAAAGAATAATTAAACCTTCATACACACCTGTATCAGTTAGGGTTTTCCAGAGAAACAGAACAGAACCAGTAGAAGTACTTAATTGATTGATTGATTGATTGACAGACAGACAGATTGATTTTAAGGAATTGGCTGATACAATTATGGGGATTGGCAAGGCCAAAATTTGAAGCATAGGTTTTCACTCTGGGAACTCAGCTAGTGCTGTAATCTGTAGGCAGAATTCCTTCTTCCTCAGGGAAACCTCAGTTTTGCTTTTAAGGCCATGCAACTGATTAGATGAGGCCCACCAGCATTATTGAGGATAATCTTCTTAAAGTCAACGGACAACATCTATAAAATACCTTCAGCAATAACACCTAAGTTAGAGTTAAATTGAATAACTGGATAGTCTAGCCAGGGTTGACATATAAAACTGACCATCATAGCACCCAATTTATATTCAATTCATGTCCAATATTCAAACCCAAGGATAGAAAAACCCTCTTAATTTACCATTATCAGTAAAACAAACCACTGTCACTCACATAAATGTTTTGTTTTACTTTTTACTTTTGCATGGCATAAAATACATGCATAGAATCCCATAAAAGTTTTCCCAAAAACTACAGAAAATCATAAAAATTTACATTCAGTGAGAATGAAAAATGGCCAAGTACTGTGTTGAGTGTTTTACATTCATTACTTCATTTCACCTCCCAGCTCTGTAGGAGGGTGAGGGAACCTAGAGAGTATAAAACAATACAAATGGACCGTTGATTGGGTCAGGCTCTGCTGCACCAACCCGTGCTCCCCTGTTGGAGAGCGTTGTTGGAAGTCTGTGGTGCCAACATTGATTAATTAAGGTTTCATGATTCAATGTGGGCAGCAACTCTGAACTGTGCAGTGCAAAGAAGAAATTGAGAAGGGGAGAGATGAGAAAGGAAACTAATGTTACTGAACACCAATATTTTACCATCAGGCACATTATTTCATTTAATCCTTATGACCACTCTTCTTGTTTTATTTTCATTCTTACAGCCATCCTCTTTGAGATGGAGGAACCAAACTCCCAGATGACTTAAATAACTTTGTTAAGGCTCCACAGCTAGTAAGTGTCAATTGCATGATCCAAGCCCAGGTCTATTTCACTCCAAAGTCCATAGATAATGTGAATTTTATTGTGAACAGTTCTATGTCTATTCTATCTCTTATTCTACCTATACAACCCCATATATCTACATGTTCATTAAGTGACCATCAAGCAATGAATAGTTGTGACTCCGTACATTATATAGTGTGGCACTGACATCTCATACATCTGTTGGCAACATATGGGGTGATAACGAGTTTAGGAGTCTTTGTTGGTCACCCAGACTGCACCCCTATAAAGGAGTCCCTAAGTTTCTGAATCAGATCCTCAAAGTTTTAGTGGCAGAAAGTTAAATGTACCAAAGACTCCAAGAATGGTTCAGTCTCAAAAGAAGGGACTCAGTCAGCCAAGCTCAAAGGAGGCAGAAGTATAAACCAGACACCAAATTCCTAAATCACATATCCCTGTGGGGAGTGATATCTTTTCCCAGCCTTGATAAGGCTCAAGCCACAAACTGGTCACTAGCATCCTTCCTCCCCTACTCTTGAGCCCTGTCTTACCCTACTCCAGCCAGCCTGGCCTTCCTCAGACATACGAGCACATTTCTGCTTCCAGGCTTTACGCTGGCTCTTCCCTCCGACATGCACGTGCCTCCCTCCTTACCTCTCTCATTCACCGTGTCAGGGAGACCTTCACGGCTCCATGTCTAAATTAGCAGTCCCAACAGGAGCACTCTCTCCCTCCTTCCCTGCTTTATTTTTTTCACCATAATACTTACTAGCATTTGACACAGTACGTACTTTATTGAATAGTCTCCTCCCCCCAGGATATATGCTTTCTGAAGACAGAGACTGGGTCTGCTTTTGTTCACTGGTATGTCCTCAGGGCATAGAACTGTGCCTGGAAGGGAGGGAACACTCAATAAATATTTGTTGAAGGAATGAATGAATCGATCAAGCAAGCAAACACTATGTTCTATCCAGGGCACCTTCATTGCAGACATTGATGTTGCAGGAAAATCCAATTAATTATCTGAAGGTTGCTAAGTGAGTCTGAAAGCAGAGCAAGGCAGAGTAGATATTTTTAGTGTTTTCATCGAGGCTATCCTGGATGAAACACCCACTGCCCCACCACCCCCAGCCTGAGCATCTCACTCCCGAACAGGGGCAGCCTCTCCCGGCAGACTTGGGTCCCTGTTGCTTTAGCTGCCCTCCTTCCTACGATAGGTCCACCTTCCTCAGGTTGTACTAGCACAACTGTTCTGGTACATTCAAGCCTGGCTCTGGCTTAGAAGCCATTCTGTATGGGTGACTTTAAATACATATATCTCACCAATCATGTGTTGATTTTATTGGTAGCAAACTCAAAATTTTAAAGCTACCTGTCATCCTCACTAGCAGTCTCTCACAATGAGGAAGTTAGAAGCAGAAATTGATGCCCCCTTATTCAGATTTTAAGACAACAGATAAAATGATTTGCTTAGATTCACCGTGTTACAGCTGGTGTGCGAATCTTACGTTGCCTTATTCATAGGTGACTAATGTCCCTGCTGGACGGTTTCCTTCCTAGCGCCTCCTTCCCGTTCTATCATTTGTCATCTCTCCTCTTAAGCATGTGTGTATATTAGTCTTACAAATGTA